GGCCAGACCTTGAGCTGGCCTCTCCTGCCATCTAGCTGTGTATCTGCTGCCCCCCCCACTCCCTCCCTTCCAGCCACCCACCCCTTGCAACCCCCAATGACAGCTGTCCTCCCTCCCCTAAGCCTCTGGCCTGGCTAGTCCTCTGCCTGGAACACAATTTACCACTCCCCCCCAATGCTCTCTGTGGTCTCCTGGTCTCCAGTCCACTGGTCTTACTTCCTGTGAGGGAAGCTCTGTAGAATCATGAATAAGGCACAGGCACGAGCTTCTGGCACCAAAAAACCTTGCAGGTCTGGCCCAGGGGCCAGGGCCAAATGGTCTCCCCAGAGCCTCTCAGCACTACCCCCCCCACACCAATATCGAGCCCTTTCCTGCCACAGGAAGGAGACTGCTAATGCCCCGTGTCTGAGTACACAGCTTCCTAGGACCTCAGGAACCATACAATCAGAATGTCTCTCTTGCTCCTTCATGTGGAGATCAAACCATGCTTGAATTCCTCTAATGATAGTGAACCCACTCCTTCAGGCCCAGCAGGTCTGGGAACTGTGGCTTGAGGTCATCCCAGCCTCTGAGTGGACCTTCTGGTTCATCCCCAAAGTCCCCAAGATGAGAGGTGCTGGAAGACCCGGATGTCGCAACCCTTTTCTTCAGAGTGGGGCCTGGAGATGTGGGAGCACCCCTCCCTGCAGAGGTGCACCCTGCTCCCATGAAGTCCCAGTGACTCAGCTGTCCCTGTGACTCCCCCCTCACCTCCACAGTATTTGTCACTGAGATGTAATCAATCTCACTAGTCTGGGACTCACAGAAGAGAGGTGGGAGTGGGTCACCCCATCTGTGTCGGGACCCTTTGATGGTTTGAGTGAGCCACTGTGGTTGACAAGGAGCTCCTAGACTTTGACACTGGCCTTGTTAGAGCAGAGGGATGGATAGAGCAGGCCAAGACAGCCTGCTTAGTGCTTCCCTGAGACTCAGACCATCTTGGGGGCTAAGGAGCGACCCAGGGCAGGCAAAGGTACTCCGAAATAGAACTGAGTTCCAAGGAGCAGCAGGGAGGCCATGCCTGGACACCACTGAGGTCTGTGGGACCTTGTGAAACACCCCTAAAACCTCAGCCTGGCCTACAACCCTGGGGAGAGGCCAGTAGCACAGTGCCAGGCCCTCTTGCTCACAGTCTGACGGCTCTTAGTTCACAGACACCATTCTCGTCCACGACGGTGGTCTGAAGGCATGTGGGGCTCAGGGGTGCAGTTTTTCCAGGCCCTTGCCCATGGGGTACCAGGCTGCAAGCTGCCAGGAGCTGAGACAAGGCTTCCTGCCAAATCCTAGACCATGGGGCTAAAAAAGCTAGGTTCCTTTCTATGACTATGGAAACTTCTGGGACCTCATCAGCTCAGAGTAGCTCTCCAACGCTTCAAGCTCCACTCCTCTCGTGCCCCAGCACCCCTAAATCCATGTTCTATTGTCTCTCAGTTCACCCAGCACCTGAGGCCCTGCCTCTCCCCCTTGTACCTTCATTTTTAGCCTCTGCTCTGGGAAGCCACTGCAGGGATTAGGTGGCCCCAAGGCTCCTCTGTCTCTCCTTCTTACCACCGTGGCCTCACTCCTGGGACCATGGGGACCTTCTGCCCATCTTTCTCCAGCCTGAGGCTCACTGAGGGAAGATGATCATTTCAAATTCAGCTCTGAGACCTCACAATGGCCCACTGAGCTCTGGTCACCAAAGATGGTGGCATTCTACAGACAAGTGAAGAAATGAAAGATTCAGGGATAGGACACTTGCTGTGTCCCATGCTCTATGGAAAAAGCTGGGGCTCAGGAGCCAGAGGCCAGGGAAAGGCATTGAGTAAGGCCCCCACTCTGCCCTGGGGTGGTGTGGTGGCCAGCTAAGCTGGGGTTCTACAGGGAGATGATGCAGGCTGGGCCTCAGATAAGTCATGCCAGGGGCTTGCTGATACCCAGCCATGACCCTACACAGGGCTCATCTGGAAATACCAGCATCCTTAGATCACCAGCATGTGTCAGATAGGCAGGCTGCTTACCCAGGAGGGACCAGCTGGCCCAGACAGTGCATTTATCTGACCCCTAGGAGTGTTGCCAGCCCTGTGTTACCAGCCGCTGGCCCTCTGCCTGTAGGAGGAGAGGACTCCAGATGGTCTACCTGCAGCCTCCTAGAAAGACCACATGGGGCTCCTGTGGTTTTCACAAAGGTAGTGACCCAACAGAAGCGGACACCAGGCAGCTTCAACAAGAGCTCCTTGTGTCCCTCACCAGTGCCTTTTCAGACCCCTGCCTCAGGCCGTCTCCTGCCCACTACTATGGTGCCAAGCCTGTGAATCCCTGGAACCTGGGACTTGGGTTCTGTTCTGTGATGCCCAGGCTGGTGGCTATCAGCCACAAGGTCCTTCGAGTTCAAAGACCTGATGAACAGATAGGTTCAATCCCAGGGGAGAATGGAGGGAAGGGAGAGAGGTGAAGGCTAAACACTCCGCACTGACTGAACTCTATTGGCTCTGTGAAGGAGAGGCTCAGCACCCCCTGGACCTCCTCCACGGGCACCGCTACTCTGCTCAGGGAGTCCCAGTTTCCTGTTAGAACATTCAGGAATGCCATTTCCATGCACTGCCTTCCTCCCCCTCCTTCCTGCCTTCCTGCCATCCAGGTCCATCCACCACAGCCCCATCCACTCATGACACCTCCACTAGAGAGGATAGCCCACAATCCCTCCCTCTGATCTCTGTCCAGTTCAGAGATCTAACCCAGGTCTTGCCTGCTGCTTGTTGACTGGGTCTTTCTTGTTCTGCCCTTAGATATACCACTGAGACCTGTCTCAGACATTACTATTGTATGACCTGGACAAGGTCCCTGGGCTGGGGTTGCCACAGGTCAGAGAACATGATCTGGGTAGAAGGAAGACCCCCAGAGGGCCTGGATTTAAACTCACATCCACCTAAGCAGGGAGGAGCTGTTGTGAGGGTCCTGGGCAGCAGCAGCCCACTGAAGCCTGGTATGGGTGGTGTGTGTTCCACATTTCATGAAACCCTTGGCTTGTGAGGAATCAGTCCATGGGGAGGGCAGCCACGGACAGGGGACCTCCATCCATCCATAGGATGAGGTAGTGGTTTGCTCTGTCTATCTAGAGAAGGGGTGTGGGTGTGAGATGGGAGATAGAAGGAAGGGCATCCCAGTGGAGAACAGGTAGGGGATGGGGGATGAGGAGCATTTGGGCAGCCCTGAGTTGGCAGGGTCACGGTACACATGGTCAGGGTGTCCTTCAGATAGAAGAAGGAGGACCTAGAGGATTGGTGCTATAATGGAGCGTTTGTCCTCTGAGGCCTGAGTGCTCAGGGTTGATCTGTTAGGAGTCCTCTCCCCACTGCAGGCTGCCTCTGTTAGCCATGGACACGGACACCCCCTATCTGGGGTCCTGACCACCCTGGTTCTGTGGATACCACCCAGGGTGGGGGATGGATGCATGTCTGGAGCCCTAGGAGGTCAGAGCTCAGCCTAACCAGGGTAAGACTGCAAGAGTGAAGGAGCCGGTGAGAGGGGGAGGGTGGCTTTTCCTTTGACTCCAGGCTCCCAAGAGATGATGCCCCCAATCCCTTCTGAAGCCCGTGAGATTCCAGTACCTGGAAGCCTCTGTTGAAACACAGAAAGCAAGCCACCCTAGAAGGGAAGAACTGGGCATACTAGAAGCAGAAAAGCCTGTGGGGTGGGCTGGCTAGAGCTGCGGGGTAGGGGTGTCACATGGATGATGACAGAAAGCTACCGGGGACACCTGGGCTGGGCTGGGCTAGGCAAACGCTCTCACAATGCCTCAAGGTAGGGCCTGGGGCCAGGCTGGGCAGTGAGGACTCCACGCCTCAGGCAGGCTCCCCAAGGATGCGTGCCCTGGCCCTGGGAGACTGGGCTGGGATTGAATCACAGCCAAGAAGTAAGTACAGTCTGGGCACCTGGGCCAGGGCATTCTCGAGCTCCTTCCTCATTCCTGGCCCTGTGGGAGTAGCCGGACCCTGTGCTCCGCTGCAGCCACCACCGCAGATTTGCTGACTGTCTCATGGAGACCCAGGGCTTCCTGCCAGCCTGCTCAGCCCTGGCCTGGGCCCCAGGAACACCACAACCTACCGACCATCAAGTCCCAGCCCTGGGCCACCTCTTGCTCTCAAATGGAGAGACTGAGGCCATTCCTCAGGGAGGGTCACCCCAAGGTTGCCCTTGCATTAGGAAGGGGGAAGGATCAGATATGGAGTCCTACCTGTCCTTGAGGGGCATGTCCCTTTGAAAAGCCCAGCTGGAGGCTCTTCCAAGAGACTTGGGTCTGGGGCAGATTCGAGGGTGCCCAGTTGGGCACAGTGGGGACCAGGCTGTTTGATCAGCAGTTCTGCCCGATGCTAAGCTGCTGGGGACAGTGGGTAGTGGCCAAACCGGCCCCACCACATGCCTTCTGTCCCTGGAGAGGAATGCCATTCATGGTAGACAGTACATGATCACCATGGGCAGTGGCCAGGTGGGCAGTAGGGGTTGCTAAGCCTCTAGGGACCCTGGGCTACCCTCCTAGGCTCTGTGAGAACCAGAAAGGCACCTGACACCCACCATCCAGAACTGGATAGACCCCCCAGGTCCCAGGCCTAGGACTCAGGCAGAGCCAGGGTCTTCTGCTCTCTCTTGCTGAGGAAAGATTGGACCAAATCTGCAGTGAGTTCCTGGGCACCAGACCCCTAGGCCTTATGTCCCTGTAGCCTGAGCCCTGTGTTGTTCAGAGAGGCCTCAGTGTTTGTGTCTAGCCCCCATCCCATACCCAGGGACAGCTAGATGCCGGAGGCAAGTGTGATGGGTCCTGCTGGTCACAATGGAAAGGAACAGGCTTCTGGCTGGCAGAGGAGGTGAGGATGTGGGGGGGAAAGGCCAAGCCTTGGTGGACAGTGCATGTCCCTAACCTGCAGGCAAGAGTTTCAATACAGGGTGTCGCATGGGACCCCCCCACACACTCATTTTTCTGATTCCAGCTTTTATTGGGGCCAAGAGCTCCCCTCCAAGGGAGGCTGCAGCACAGCCCGTCAGAAGTAGGGCACTTCAAGGACGTGCAGGACCCGGCCACCTCTGTCCCAGCACATAGCATGGGGGTAGCCAGTGCCCCACCTGGGCCCACTGATGACTTCTCTCCCCCAGGGCAAGGGCTGCAGCCAGCTGTGACAGCAGGTGCAGGTGCCTGGTGGCCCAGGGACAGTGCGAGTTGCCTCGGTGGCATCAGGGCCCCGAGAGTCCTTTTCAAGCAGAAAGGAAGAGCCTGGCTCAGGGGGACAGCAGCCGAAGCCACCCCCCATCCCCTCCAGTACCCAGTGTAGGTCACAATAACTTAAGAGACATGACAGACGAGGGACAGGGATGCTATATAACAATATAAGTTAACCAGGCTCCTTGGCAGGGGACACTGGGATATGGACTTCTGCATCCCAGGACTTGGGGTGAGGACATGGAGGGAGGAGAGGAGGGTGGGACAGTTCCAGTGGCCCAGAGGCTTGGAGTGTCCCAGTGTGATGGGGATACATGGCTGGATGCAGGGCAAGGGCAGATAGGGGTCACCTTCCCCAAGTCAATGTCCAGGCTGCCTGGCTCAGTGGTCACCAAATCCCACATTCCCATGGGCTTTTGCTATGAAAAATATTCTAAATGTAGAGCGGCCTATGGGAGTGACCAAAGACAGAAGCAAGCTGTGCTCTTGCTCTGGATAGTCCCTGCCCATCATGTGCTGTGGAGGAGAGGCTGGGAGCTTCAGAGAGGATGTACCCAGCCTTGAGCGGGCAGGACCCTCTCTGCCCCCATCTGAAAGGTCTCAGGCAAGTGAATAGGACATCAGAGAGTCTCCTCATGGTGTGGGGACCCTTGAGCAGATGTCTGTGGACAACAGCAGGGGCCCTGGCAGGCACAGCCTTGGAACCCTGGATGCCAATTCTTTCACGTAAGGGTCAGAGTGGAAGGACAAAAACCCCCCAAAGGCACTGAGAAGGGGGTGCAGGCTCGTGCCACCCTGGCCACCCCCAGAGCTTGGGTTCGGTGGGGCTATGGTGGTACAATCCACAGAGCCATGGGGTCTTCAGTAAATCTTCAGGGTGCTCTGTGCTCATCTGTCAGATGGGACAACTGTCCCTGACCTCTCTGGGCCCTGCCTGTCCTGCTGTGCTGTCCTGCGGGTCAGGCTGGCTCCAGGGTAGAAGGGGCTGGAGGTGGAAGCCTGTGGTGGAGGGCTGGGAGGGTAAAGGCCTGGGGAGAGGATGAGGCACACCTGGAACCTGGCACAGGTGACATTTGATCTGCTTGACAATTTCGGAAAGGAATGTAAGATGGGCTATCATCAGAGGCCCTCTCAGGTCATGCAGGCCCCCACAACCCCTCCCAGGGCACCTCTGGGGCCCACACACATAGTCAGCCTCCCTGCCAACCCCGGCCCCTCAGATCTGCAGGCGACAGAGGACCCTCAGGGGAGGAGCTGGCAGTGGGGTGGCCTCCGAGTACAGAGTTAGGACTGACTACATGGTCATTAGTACAAATCCTCTTCTGATGCTAAGAGAACATAAATAATCTTGTCAACATCCATCCACACTGCCCAGGGCCCATGAGATGCAGCCTGGGAAAGAGTTTTGAGCGCAAATGGTAGGCATGGCTTTCTGTGTCCAGCCACCAGGCAGGGAGGTGACCCTCAGTGTCTCATGGTCACTTTGAGGTTCACTTTCCCCAAGAGAAGAAAAGGAATTTGCTGGTCTCCATTGGGTACCAGACCACTGACCATGGATGTTGGGTGGGTTGAGGGCACACAGCTCTGCCACTGGAGGGGACAGAGTTGGTAAGAAGGAGCCTGGAGCATGGGGAGTAGGTGCAGGCCCCTGCTGCACCCCGAGCTCCTACCCTCTCCACCTGCCTCTGCCCACAACTGGCAGGGCTGGAAGCAGGAAAGGATGTGCAAAATGCTGAGAGCTGGGGTGGGCCGGGGCACCCAGGGCAGGTGCGCGGCAGCCTCACTTGCAGGTGAAGACCTCGGTGCGCTCGCTGCACGTGTTGCACTTGACGAAGCAGCACCAGTGAAATTTGCAGTTACACTGCCACACTTTTGTGTACTGGTGCGTGTTGTAGCCGCGCCCGCAGCACATGGTGTCGCAGCCATCGGCACCCTGCGAGGTGCGGTTGCACAGGCGGCCCTGTGTGCCCACGCTGCCCGTGGCCGCGTCCTCCTCACAGTAGTTAGGTGACTTCTCGATGTACACCAGGTCCGTCTCCATGGGCTTCTGGTAGCTGCGCAGCTGTTTGATGCGCAGGAAGGTGGGCTGCCGCAGGCGGCTGGCACGGACCACCTCTACCTGCACGGCGGCGTTGTACTTTTCCTTGAGCAGGTGACCCACCTCTCGGAACTTGGGCAGCGTGGTCCAGCAGGTTTTGGTGGTACAGGAGCCCGACACGCCGTGACACTTACACTCCAGCTTCATGCGGTCCTCCAGAACCTACAGGAGACAGAGCAGAGGCTCAGCAGGGCGTGGGGCACCCAGGGCGCCCTGTGTCGTCTCTCCTGCCTCCTCGTCTCCTCTCTCAGAGCCCGACTGTTCACTCCTTTAAAGTGCTGTGGCAGGGTCCCTGTGTGCCGCGCTCTGTTAGAGTATGGTGTATGTGATCAAATGTATTTGGTTAAATCCATACGATGACCGTTTAAGGAGGCACTGACGAGGGAACCTGATTTTCAGGGCCGCAGGTGGGGACACCAGGCTGGGAGAGGCCCAGCAACAGAAGGTGATAAATAAATATCCCATGTCTCCTTCGCCCTTATGCCTGGTGCGAGTCTGGCAGGTAGTCGGAGCTTAACAGCCGGCTACCTAACGACAGCGTATGTGCAGGTGATGGAGGGAAATGGGAGGGTGAGGGTACGGGTCAGCGCGGCCCAGTCGTGCCATCCTCTGGGAAGCTGACAGCCGGGACAGGCCGGTTGTTGTTCTTTCTCCCTAGCTGCACGAGGGCCTGGGCTGGGTGCAGCTCTCTGTTTTCCTTGGGCCTCCCTCTTGGCCCCCGGAAGGCTGGTTCCCAGAGCCAGCCCTGACCCCAGGTACTCATTTACCCGGATCGAAAGGGTCCTGCCAACCGGCTTGATGAAAGATGGGGGGGGTCACTGTTAGCTGCTGCCCTGCGAAGGGGCCATTTATCAGCTGTCGGGGACTCTACTAGCCTCACCTTGGCAGCCTGGGCCTTTGGGGATTTGACTCCTACCCCCTCCCCCAGGCCGGAATCCACTGTCAAGGGCACCTGTTTTCGACCCCCAGATCTGGCCTAGACAAAAGCCTCAGCAAATAAATGAATGAATGGATGGATGGATGAGGGAAAAGAAGAAAGAAGCAGTCCACCGAGGGCCACTGCCCAGCACCTTCTCTGGACCTCACAGGACCTCTGAGGTTCACCCAGTGTAGAAGAAAACGGACAGGTATCAAACACCCAGGGCCTTCGGGAGCCCACACCCTGCGGGACTGCCGGTGCCTATGGCGGGGTGTCCTGGAGGAAGTGATGCCTGTGATGGGTTTTGATGGGTGAGTCGGAACTCGTTAGACAAAAAGGAAGGTGTTTTAGGAGAAGCTCAAAAGTCACAACTGTATCATGAAGCTCGAAGGGAAGAGGGGCCACAGGCCCTTCAGTGGCGCTGGGCAGGCCCTGGGCTGGTACCTCCCCAACCTCATTATTCTCCAGCTAAGTGAATGATGGTATTGATGGGTAAAGGACTGGAGCAGCTGGCCGGAAGGGAAGCGTGAACCCCACCAGGGATAGTCTAAGGCAGGATGGACCCAGTGTCCTGTGGAGCAGAGTACTTTGGGGGCTCTATGGGTAGAGTGGGTGGACCGGAGATGCCTGGAGGTCAGGCCTGAGTAGCCTCAGGCAAACCTAGGACCTGTTCTTTGTTCTTCCCTGCCTTCCCCATCCCCCATCTATCCTCATGATTCTCTAGCCCCCTCATCTGAGCCCCTGTTCTTCCCTGCCTCCCCCATCCCCCATCTATCCTCATGACTCTCTAGCCCCCTCATCTGAGCCCCTGTGCCGTGATCCAGCTTTGCTTGGCTCTGTCCCTTCCTTCCACTAGCCTTCTTCAAGCCCAGTAAGTCCCCTGCCCTGGCCACTGTGTACTGGCTGGCTGGACAGGCCTTCCCAGATCCCAGGGTGCAGCAGCTCATGCAAGCCCTAGCTGACAATCCTCCTCCAATGGCTGAGACCAGGTTGGGGCCAGGTAGGCCAGTGGCCAGCCATCTGTGGTCCCACTGTGCCCAGCTGCACACCCACCTCCCAAGTCCCTTCTCCTCGTCCTTTAGCCCTCGCCCAGCCCCTACCTCCTGAGTCTTATCAGGGCTCCCCAGCCTCCTGCTCCCTCCTGCCTGCCTGGGGACATCAGACCCTGTGCAGCCCTAGTAGTGACAGAGGCAGATGAAGTTGATTGGGCAGGTGTTTGCAGAGCAAGGGGCTGAATCCTCGCTTGGCTGGGTCCCCTGGGCTGGAGCCTCGCCGGGAAGTGATCACAGGATTCAAGAATGCGCCGCTTCCTTCTCCAGGGCCCTTGCCACCAGAGTTACGGCAACAGTGGCGCCAGGGGCGGCCAGGCGCCCAGGAGACACCTGGAAGGGGCAGAAAGGGCTGCCCACCTGAGGGGCTTGAGCTGAGTCTGACTGCACTGCAGGCCTGGTCCCCCCCAACACACACAAGGGTGTGGAGTCGACTGCGCCATTGAGAAGGGCTGATGGGGTGTGTCCAGGGCTTGGGAGCAGCGCTCCTTTTGGCTAGGCTGAGGGAGTCATTAGACCAGGGACAAAGACCTTCAGGGGAAGGCTGGACGGCTCTGGTGTCCCTCTGTCCCAGCAGGGCAGACTTGGGTGGGGAGGGTGCCTCACCGTCAGTGCAGATGCAGCTGGGGAGAGAGGCACCCTGTGTCTCCCTCATGCCCTTGGCTTCCTGAGCTTTCGGGTGGCCTGGCCTCTCCCACACATGCAGACATGGCCCTTGACTGCTGTTCTCACTAACTTTGGATCCATAAGTGGCTGTGGATCTTGCCAACTTGGGGGTAGTAGCCGGCCTCTGGACTCAGCATGGGTGTGACCTCAGGACCGCGCAGTGAGGACGAGCCTACCCAGCACCACTGTCAGGGACCCTTGGTCAGTCAAGGGCCGAGCCAAGACATGACCCATGGCCAGCTGATGGGGCACCAGCCCCATCCCCAAGTTGGCCACACTTGTCACAACTTCCTTCCTGGTGGGCACCCACTGAATTCCTGGGCAAATGCAGTGGTATCCTTGGCATAGCACCTGACCTTCCCACAGGGGCCAGCACTGGCCTTGTCAGGACGGAGCAGACAAACCACAGTTTCCAACCTCTCAGGCATCAGTACTGTCTACCCCTGCCCCTGCCCCTGCCCCATGGGGTGGGGGGCACCACACCAGCGACAGAACTACTTGCTCACATCTGCATATTCTTGGGGAAAGGTTTGAGTGCTCTTTCTGCCTAGGCACCAGGGGGCACATCTCTCTAAATCCACCACAGTCCACGAGGGGCCTGGGGAGGGGAAGCAGTGCAGGGCTAGTGGTCATGGTGAGCAGAGCTCTGAGCTTAGCCTGTTCCATCAAAGCCTTTTAGGGGTGCCCACCTGGGTCCCTGCAGCCTCAGGAGAACAGAAAGTGGGGTGGTTGGTGGCTGTAGATTACCTCCCATGAGTCACATCACAGGAAATCTCAGAAGTGACCTTATTGGAAATAGGGTCTTTACAGATGGGGTTAAAGCAAACATGAAGGTGTGTTCACCTGGAATAGGCCTGGCCAAAAGGCAACTGAGAATTTCCTCATAAGAGACAAAAGAGAAGACAGCCCAGGAGAGGCCACCTGGCTCAGAGGCAGAAGCTGGTGATGAGGCCACAAGCCAACAAATGCTGGGGCCTCTAGACGCTGGATCCCTCATTTTTCTATCCCCCAGAGCCTTTGGCGGAAGCATGGCCCCGCCCAGACCTTGATCGCAGGTTTTAATACCAGAACAGAGGGAGAACATGGGCCTCTTTCACTGTGAGTCTAAGGTACTCAGGAGCAGCAGGCATAAGGTGTTGGCCCACCCCTCTATACCTGCTTGATGCCCCAGGGTGGGTCCGGATCCAGCACTGGAGCAGTGGGGCAACTTCCAGCCCCCAACCTACCATCATGGCAAGCACTGAGCTGCTGGGAGGAAAGGACCCATGTGCAGTTATTATCTGGCCTTTGGGGGCTCAGGTCAAGGTGTGCTCACAGCTGTACAGGTGAGGCTGGCAGAGGTGCAGATGGGGAGACTGAGGCTCAGCAGAGGGACAGGTGAACTCCCACAACTGGGGACAGAGTTGGTGTGAAAACTGTTAATTTTTTTTGAGACATTGTCTTTTTATGTAGCTCAGGCTGGCCTCAAACACAATCTACCACAGCCTTCTGAATGTGCTGTGTCTGGGTACCACCAAACCTTTTAGAGCCCTTCCTTTCCTGTAGCCAGCCTCTATGCTGCTGCTCCCATGATCTGTGCCACATTTCGTTCATGGCATGCCATCCTTGGGTCATTCCTCTGCCCTCAACCCCTCAGCTGGACTATCTTCCCCATTGCCAACCTCCAACTTCCTGTCTCTCCTGGGGCTGGTCCTTTCTGCCCCCCTTGTGCCTCTTTATCAGCCTATGTGCTGCAACCAGCCCACCCAGTCAGTCCCAGACCTGAACTGGACATAACTCCAGGCTTCAAGGCCCTTTGCCTGGAGTCCTTGTCCGTTCTCACATCTCTGGGGCTTGATGTACCCATGAGCAGCGACTAAAACTCAGGCCCAAAGTTGGCCAGCTCTGCAGCTTGCCTGGGGCTTACGGTCCTTATCTGTACATGGGGACAGTTGGATCTTCTCCTGGGAGGAAACATCTGCCCAGAAGCCACCCCAGAAACTCGAAGGCGTCCATGAGAATCCAGCCCCACTTTCCCTCTGTGTTGGTTGGCCTCTTTCTTCAGCATCCCCGGCAGGTGGGCTTCGATCACATACTATGCATTTGCTTGGGTTTGTGGCTGCCTTTGAGCTCACTGGAGGCCACACGGCCACTCTTCCCCCATCTGTTTGCCACTGTAACCTAACACCCCCCAACCATGAAAGACACCCCACATCAGAGTCAACCCCTCCCTGAGCTGTGCCAACCCGTGCTCACTCCTTAGGCCCGACTCACCCACCCCTCCTGCTGGCTGGAGCTGATTATGTTCTGCATGTCCTTCAAGGCCCCACTCTGATGCCACCTCCTCCAGGAAGCCTCTGTGCTTTCTGCTGGGCTCCCAGGCCCTGACACCCTTAGGTGACCCAAGATCGCACAGTCAGGGTCATGCTCAACTTCTCTCTACTGCCTGGCACAGAGGAGGGGGCAGGCAGTGCTAACTGAAAGAGTGGCAGACATATCGCTGGCCTTTCGTGACCTCCCAGGGTTGGAGGCTCTTCAGCTCGTTTGCCTAGAAAGGCCGGTCCATTGCAGGCCCAATAAGCCCCTGGCTCTGCAGACCTGGGTGCAGCCCCCAGCGCCCAGGAGCCAGATCCAGCCCGTGTTCTGCTCGGCTGGCTGCCCTATCTCTGGCCATCTTGCCGCCAAAGCGGCTGCTCCTCCTAGCTCAGTATCTGGGGGCCTCATCTCCCTGCGGTGGCCAGGCTCGCCCTGACTTCTCCCCCAGTGTCCTGGAGTGATTTTCCTCCATTAGCACCCTCACTCCTCCTTCCCACCATGTGCAAGGCGGGCTGTGCTCCAAGAGCCCCCCCCAGCTGGCAGTTCCTGTCAGTCCTTAGAGCTGTCTCCCTTTTGTCCCGTCCCCCTTTATTGGTGTGCTGATTAGGCTCTGAGAGCGGGGATGTGGGCTGTGGCCTGGGGCCTTGACCCACCTTCAGGTCCCCAGCCAGGCCCAGCTCACACCCTGCATTGAAATGGGTCCTACGTGCCCACTCTGGGGGCTGCTGCTGCACCCCAGGTAGCCCCAGGTTTCATACGTGCAGGCAGGGCAGGGAGGCTGCCCGGGGCTTTGCAGGGAAGCAGAGGAAACACAGGAAGACCTGGCATGCATGCTTCTGCAGGTGGGCACTGTGGCTGCCATGCCCACCATGTCTGCAGGCCTACCTTCCCGCCCACCGTGCCTGCTGTGCCTACATGCCCATACACCGACCTTCCTGCCCGCCTCGTTGTTGTGGAGATTCATGAGGCGCCTGGCGTTCTTCTTGATCTCTCGGGCATCCACGAAGCGCCGGGAGAAGTCGATGCCGTATCGCACATCAGCTGAGCAGCCGCCCCACTTCCAGCCCTCCGCCTGATTGTAGTAGCCTTGCTTCTCCCTGTCACAGCCACAGTTGCTCAGGTTGCCCTGGCTGCAGGCGGCCGTGACTGCATGTGCCACGCCTGCTGCGGTGATGGCATATGTGAAAGCGGCCTCACGGCTCCCTGGGGAGAGAGATGACACGTGTGGCTGGTGAGGCCCCAAAACTCTGAGTCAGGTGGGCACAGGGGACATAATCTACTTGCTGTGTGACCCCAGGACTCATCACCTGCCCTTTCTGAGCTTCCAACTCACCAGAGTGGGGCTGATGAACAGCAACCAGGAAGTATGTGGTAAGGTGTAGAGCTGGTACTCAGTGTCTGCTGTCACCACCAGCATGTAACACCACCATCCACTGTCTCTCCCTGTTCCCAAGAGACCTCAGCTCAGCTACTGCTTCTGTGGACAGGCCATTTGTGCATAGAACATGGACTTCTGGGCCATGAGAAAGCACAGGGCCTCCCCATTCCCACTCAGGAGTCCATCTCCCTCTGTGACTGGACCTTCAGTCCGCTCCAGGCTTTGGCCTTCCAGGTCTCCCTTTCTTCCCACCATCTGGGTAGCAGTCCTACCTCTGTCCTCTCTCCCTGGTCATAGCTGGGTCCTTCCCCCTCCCCACCCCAAGCACCTTCACTGACTCCTGTCTGATGACAGGGCCAAGCCTATGACTGACCGAGCTGGGAAGGGAAGCCAGGTCCCCCACCCTGCCAACGCCTGCCTGGCTTTCTCATCCCTCTCTCTGTCCTCAGGGATGACTCAGGTCTTCTGGGTGTGGTTCACACCTCCTGTGGGTTTCCTGGTCTTTGGGATTTCCTGGTCTCTTCCCCTTCCGAAGCCTGGCTCTAATGTTCCTCCTGAAGGCTGCCTTCCCAGGAGGAGGCCTTCACTGCTCAGGTGGGGACATTGTCCACATGATTAGCCTTGTAGGGGACCACCTGGCTCTCTTTAGGTCCAGAAGCCCTTCAAGTAGATGGGTCCAGCTCAGATTCCTTCTTTATCCTCCAAGGCCCCAGGCTGGACTGTGCATGCCTTCCATCCTGGCCCTCTCTACCTACCCACTTCCCAAGTCTGTTATCAATAGTATGTGTCTAGCACATGGCACCGTGTGGCCTCAGGAAGGCCACTCTGGGACCCAGAGTAAACTCCAGTGAAGGATGGCTCCCTATCATCTCAGTCATGGACAGCAAGGCCAATGGTCAGATATGGAGCTGGGAAGGCAAAAACCCAAGCCCAAGCCATAGCAAGGCCTCATGCCAGCACCTGCCTGCCCCAGTCTGTCCTGGATGGCTGACTGCTGGCCCTGCTCTGGGAGACTGAATGGGTCACCACAGAAAACTGGCAGAGAGTCAAGTTAGGTCCATGAACACACTTTGAGCACCAACTATATGTCTGGCCTTGTGGCAGCTGTTCCAGGCACTCTACGACCATCTACCTACCCACCAGCCAGCTGGGGTGTGCCGAAGGGAACTTCTTCCTGGTGGTGGTGGGGTAGCCTGACACCCTCTTCCCCTGAGGCAACTTCCCTCAAAGTGAAGACAGGGTGGAGTCCCCAATCCCAGGGGCCTGGGGTGAAGAGAAGTAGGGGGCACTTCCTCCTCTGAGAGACCCAAGGCAAGATATTTCCAGTCAGAGAGACCAAGACCTCCAGGGCTGGCCTGCCTGGACCTGGCCTGTCACAGCCTCCACCTTGTCCTGCTACCCTACTGGGTCCCCCCCACCCCCAGCAGTTCCTTTCTTGCCAGAACACATTCCCAGGGCCTGTGGGCTCCAGGCTCTGATGGACAGGAGATAGGAGAGATATAAGCCAACCTCTCAGCCCAGTGGGCTCCTCATGTTCCATGAAGACATGGAGCAGCCCTGTTCCTGCACTGCTGGAGGCTGGGCAGGAGCCCTAGATAGGATGGGGACTGGGAGGATATAGGAATCCATGTCCCCGGCTCTAAATTAGTTCAGGAAGACCCTAAGGGAAGGCCTGGGTTCCCTTCTGCAGTGCTCAGGCCTGGCAGAGCCAGATGATGAGCTATCCAGGGATGGTGGAAGTGGCCATCCAGAGAAGACTCAGGACCCTAGAGGACATCCTAACCTGCCTCTGTGGGGGAAGTCAGGCAGGCTTCCTGGAGAAAGGGTTGCCTTGTGTAATGACAGTCTCTGCAGGGAGCAGGAGCTGACTCCTAGAAGGTGTGTGTACATGTGGGGGTGGGAGGCACACAGGCTGTGGAGTGTGTGGTACTGGGGAAGTGTGCAGTATGGTATGTGTGAGATGTGGGTGTGGAGTATGATGTATGTGGCATGTCCGCTGTGTTGTGGGATGTACATGCTCTGTAGCATGTGTGCCCGTGCTCCAAAGGCACTCAGGAGTCTAGAGCTGGGAACACAGGGGCTGTCCAGGTAACATGGGACCTGGATACAGCAGATCTCACAAGTAATAATATTCCAAACCCTTTAGAAGCAGCTCACAGAGCAGAGGACACCACCATTATCCTCATTGAAGCCAGAATTTCACTCCACTGTGCACCCAACACCTGGATCCTCCCTGTTCTCAGAACTCTCAAGACAATGAGACAAGGCAGGTTTTATACCCATTTTGCAGAAGAGGAAACTGAGGCATGGAGCGGGTATAACACTGACTATTAACGGCTGAGGTGGGACTTGAACCTGGCTCTGGGTGTTTGGAAAGCCCAGATAGACTGCAGAAGGGCTGAGGGCCTGGGCATAGATCTCTGATGACCATTCTGTCCCCAGTTTAGCCCCTATATAGTCTGTGATCTTGGAAGGAGACAGGAACAGGGAGATTTGTGGCACCTTGGGGAAAAGATACTGTGTATGGGTGAGTTGTGGCCCTTGGAGTGCAGAGGGGCTGGACAGTGGCCAGAGGCCCCTGGATGGGAGCTCTAGGAAGGCCAAGCTAGCTTCTAGTGAGCACAGTGGAGAGAGGTCTGGAAAATTCAAGTGATTGTGCAATTTTGTAATGGGTGCAGATGGTGGTAGGTGTCACCCAGAGGCCGAGGCAGCCACCTGTGACTGCTCACCTCTTCCAGTCTAACCACTAGGCTGCCAAGACCAGTCAGGAAACTCCCAGCTTCTCCGGCCTGTCTTGAAGCCCCAGGCAAGCAGGCAGGTGCCCAGCCTGACTGGCACGGTCCAGGATGACCGAAAGTCTCCCGAGTGTGTCCCGCTGCGGGTCTGGGCTCTCACCTGCCTGTGCCCACACCCGCTCCGACTCTCTTACTCACCAGTTACTCATCAGGTTGCCACTCCCACCATGGCCTTTTTATTTGGTTTTAATGAGCCAAGCCCTCCGTCTGTTGCCGTGGAGACAGGGAAAGGTGGAGGAGAGAGAAATGGTAGTTTGGGGGAGAACAACCCCAAGTGAGGTCCAGCGAGAGGGGCTGCCACGGGGCTGCGGGTCCCCACACCCGGCATGCTCCATGTGATCTCATTCCGTTCTTCAACCAGACTCAGGTGCTGGCTCAGAGGGCTTGGTGACTCACCCCAGGCCACAGCTTGCCCAGGTGTGGAGCAGAGAGTGAGCAGGGCTCTAGGCTTCCCCAACTCCCTTCCCAGATCCCTCCAGGGACCTTGCCTGGGGCTGTTCAGGTCCCTGGCCTGCTTCCATAATTTCAGATTCAGAACTCATCTAGATCCTTTGACCTGGAGTGGGGACCTGACTCCACAACGGTCCAAAGGTCTCCAAGGCAACTTCCAGTGTCCTGGGCTGGTCTCCAAAGCCCCCAAGGCCCGACACCCCTGTCTGCTCCTACCATGAGCTGCAGTTCAACATGGCCAGGATGAATGGTGGTCCAGCTGTGGGTAGGTGTAACCCCCTGTAGCATACAGGAACTATCTGGAAGGAAAGGACCTCCCCCCACCCCCA